CGAAACGAACATCCAGACGAAAACAAGGCGCTACACGCGTCGCTGAATATGCCCCCTGCGACATTACCTACTTAAAGTATGTCCCCACCGCTGAGGTCAAGAGAAGTTAAATAATCTAACAGAAAGCACGTGACCCATAATCTTCCCCCCCTATAACCTCCGGAATGAGCAGAGAAAAACTGATAAAACCACAGAAACACGACGAAATAGATGAAATCCACAAAACAAGCCGTTTACCCTTTCTTACCCCGGGGCGGAAAACACTCCTCGCATACAATCGAAGAAAACAGCCTATTCCTCCATATAACCACAAGAACCCATATTCCTTCACGGAGCCGCATAAACCAAGGCACAAGATGGACACAAAGAGATACAGAGAAATCGGCCCACCCGCGACAGCTCTAGCAAACGGGCTAAGCGAATAAAGTGAGTGAACGAATAAATAAACGGCTGAACGACTGGAAGCAAGCAAGCAATTCAAGCAAACAGACGAACAAGCAATAGGAGATCTATATCTACCATCCTCCTCAACACCCTCCTGTCACCTCAAAACTGCCACTTAAGCCTCCCTCACCCCCCGGCAGAAGCGGTGCCGGATCGACAAGAAAGAAAAAGACTTAACAAACCTTCCATCAGCACTACCCCCCGCTATGCTCAAAGCCTCTCTGCATCCTGCTCTGCGGTGGCCAGTGTTTGTAAAGCCTTCAGCTCGGCGATTTGCTCTACGCCTCGCCGTATCTCGATCCAGTTTACCAAGAGCTCATTCACCACCTTGTTGAGCTCTTCGGTGTTTACAGTGTGCGATTGTGGCTGCGGTTGTGGCCGTCGACTCTCGTCCCTTCTTTCAATATCAGCAAACTGTTTCATCTCCCGTAGCTTCCTCATTTGGGAGCCGTGTTTCGTGATACTGAGAGCTTCCTTCTTAAGGTTCGGCCATACGGTGCGAGTCGTCTCCGGATCCGCGATATCAATTGAACATTTCTTACAGAGCTTATCCCCTATCTTGTCTGAGAAAGCCTGCAAGAACAAAAGGACTCGAGTGTGTTCGTTGATGATGCCCCTGGTAACCAGCTGATCCGCTCGTTCGGAAAAGTCAGAGATGAAATGACGGTATTGCAACGGTGTCGGGTCAATGGTATCATGCATAGCTTGAACAACACTTCGTAAGGGCCTCAGCTCGATGGTGTCACGAATAGTTCGAAAAATACTTTGTAGGTATATCTCAGTGCTGCGCTTTTGCTCGTCGTCATCATAGCGGAATTCCTTGAGTAACTCTTTCTTGAATGTTGTCCAAGAAGTGGCCGATTGAAAAGCTTCCATCGCTCTGATATATCTACCAATACTCCTGTCACAGTATAGAGGGACCTTCTTGATGCGAGTTTCATCGGTCCAGTCAACTGTCAGGTCTTCCCACATGGTGACGAAATCCGTTACATTTTTTCCATCGAAGTTCGGCGCACTAGGCTGGTGCGAAAGCGGAAAATAATAGGGAAGCGGAAAATAATACATTGCGAATGCTGATACAGGCGTTAAAGAAGTGGATGCTGAAGCGGATACTGAGCGGCGGCGGAATTCTCTATTGCTGCAATGATTTGCCGAAATGATTGAATTCCCTATGCAACCAGACTAGAATTGCTTCGTGAATTTGTTGAAGTGAGCTGCTGATCCCGGTCGATGAAGGCGCTACGTACCAAGTATGCAGGTGCTGCTCAGGAATACGCTAGAGTGCGCGGCGTGGTATGCAAGGGTGATGCGATATGCGGGGGCGATGCGGAGAAGCAGGGTGCGGAATGGTGCGAAGGGATGCAGTACAACGCGAGCGTGTAGTACGATGCGATGTGAGATCAGATATGTTGTGCGACAGAAGCAAGGTTGCGAGGCTGAGAGTGTGATATAATGTAAGTGTGAGGAAGGATGCGAGAGCGGTGCAAGGAGCGGTGCAGAGCCAGTCTAGAAAATTGTGGCAAATTAGTCATATAGTCTTGGCAGCTGAGTTCGGAGTGCTGAACAACTTTCAATACTAATTAACCTTCTGCATTGAACTTACTAATAATGGCAAGAGGACTTGGTGCCAGAGTACTAGTGCGATATAGGGAGTGGCGGGCGAGGTACGATAAGATGCCGGGTGTGGTACTGTGGGGTGTGCGGAAGATAAGAAAGATGAAGACAAGTACAGTATTCAAAATATGCAGGTAGGTCTGCCCCACGTTCCTGTGTCCTTTTTGGTCCCCTGTTTTTGTTCGGTGGAGTGCTGAAACATTTCTGCTCTTGTGCTCTGATTAATGGTCCCTGAATGTCCCTACTTCCGGTTGCCATGCGGTAGATTTCCAGCAAGCCATAAGGAACGACGATCACTGCCAAATTCGGATTCGTGGCAATATGGGCTTTTTTTTTCCCAAAAAAGTCATGTAATACCGCTTACAGCTCACGCCATGGCAGGGCGTTGCAATATGGCTGATACGTGCGAGTATCACTACATAACGCCACTAGGCTATCCGAACGTCAGGAACCCCGCTGCCTCCCTTATGGCTTGCGACTCCGTCTTAGTTATGATAGTTATTCTTCCTTATCCCTCTGGGGAGAAAACAGGCTGCCCCGACTGTCCGAAGTGCCTTTCCAGTTTCTTGCCACATTTCTGAGTGCTAGGAAAGTGAGCGAGTTGAGATTAACGTTCCCAGCGAAGTAAATGTAGGTTGCGGGTACCAGGGTTTGCGAGTGCGTGGATGTGAGTGCGTGGTGCGAGTGCGTGGTGCAGAGACAGCGATATGCCCAATTTGCAATCTAGAGTCTAGACTAGAATCATGATGCGAGCAATTGCGATTGCGATTGCGGTTGCGATTGCGCGATCAATGCGTTGGTCTGGTCAGATGCATGCGGAGATGACACATCGACTTTGAGTTACTACGTTATCATTCAATGTAGCGGTTCCATCAGTAGATGCCAACACAACATCAAGGGTGTAATTTATAGTTCCATCTACGGCCATAGACTGAAGAAAACGAGGCATCCTGTCCGCTCTGCCATATCAGAGCTTCAGATCGCCAAGCTAGTACTACAGTGGGTGACCATGTGGGAATCCTTGGTGCCGTAGATTCAGCAACCTTTTTTTTTTCCCTTTGAGTCTTGCCATAGACCATAGCAACTAAAATGTTATAAAATGAGATGGTAATAAGAGACGGAGTAATTGATTTATTTATTTAATATAGTACGAGGATTTCAGACCCGATGTGAGAGAAATGCAGAACGTAAAGTTGCCAAGACAGAAGAACAGTGCCGTAGAAAAAACCTGTTACCAGTGCTGGTGGCACCAGTCGTACTGCGCTTGGTAATAACTGATAAAGGGTACACGGGAGCACATTCTTCTAACATAAACGAACGAAACTATGCATAACAAAGAAAAAAAAAGTCAGTAGTAAAATGGGTTTACATAGTATGTTGACCTCGCCGCCAAGCCGCCGCAATGATCCTGGTCCCAAGGCTGCAAAATTCCCGTAACCAGACTACTTAAGGTACCGGTTTGCTCGTTTTGTGCCCGCTTAAGAAGTACCCGGAACAACTGGTTACGAGACTACTGGAACAAATAGAAAAGCGTCATTGATAGATTTCGACTTTTGTTTTTGCGCATCGTTGAAACTTGGTTGAAAGGCTTATTTTAACCCTGCAAGAAAAAACGCTTGACTAAGTTTGTTGGGGATACGTAATCCGAGCGGAAGGAAGTTAGACCCTTTCTCCACACTTCATCCCGGAAACAAAAACCGGTATGTACATGTAGCTTATATTAACCCCCACACATAGCTGCAGGCCACGATCTAGTACATACCCTAACCGGCGACAAAGATGGGAAGGTTGAGTCAAACTTGATTTGCCGCAATAGAAAAACTGTAAAATGTAGTACTTAAATCAGGTCATTCATATATGTTAAGTAATTAATGTCAGGTCCTACCATCTTGAGGTTATTGATATCCAGTTTCGGCCGGCGCTAGGTAGGATTTGATTGAGCCGGAGTGATGTCACGCAACACACGAAGGGACAAAATATGTTCTTGTAGTATACCGCCCGAATAAGGCCATACTCAAGATCAAATCCTACATGAGTGACGGTTTTTGCGCTCCTAAACAGTCCTTGCATCCATGGATAAGACCGCACTCTAAGATAAGACTATATCGTGGTATTGGGTGTATTTGTCTGTCTAGCAAAGGATGGGCACGAAAGCAGTGCACAGCGCCGGTTGGTAAAGAATAAACAACTAACGGAATAAGTGATATAAATTGGATATGTGAGTACTGTTGCAGTGGTTTTTTTTTTTCTTTGTGAGCGCGACTTTGACTAGTGAGGGATGAGTGTTGCTTGGGGTTCTTTGGTGAAAGGAGTGTCATGTTTATAGTGTTCGAATAGAATGGTAGTAAAGTGTTTTCGTTACCGTAAGGTTGTGATAACTAGTAGGCTGAGGAATAAACATAAAGTTAAATAGAAACACGGAATCAAAAGCATTCATGTAAATAAACATTAGCGATTTTTTAACTCGATTCGCACAGTCGGGTCATAAAATAGTTGCTGGTTGTACTATTTACCCCCTTCCCCTCCCCCCACCCCTTTGCCGCTCACTTCATTACCATCAACGCACATGATTTGCGAAGGGGATTGGACATATACTTTGAGGTACTTAGGAGGACGGTATTCACGTACAGGGACCTGGTCGACGTTTCTCTACTTACTTACACCTCAAGGCGAATGACTACTCAGGGGAGGTCGAGCTGCGTATGTATTTCGCGGGTATATATATTTTTTTTTTGAATATCATTATCCGTGTACCTAGTCTCGTAACCAGCCGTGTGCCCCCCTGTGCCCCCCTGTGCCCCCCTGTGAGCTCTGGCCAGACATATGCATGGTTATTGTGAAACAATTTCCCAACATCACTTCAGCAAGTCTTTCCTCGGATACAAGGAGAAAAAAAGAGGATAGGAATAGTCAAAGAGCTAAAAGATAAAAGTGCGCGCTACTGGACGTACGGCGAATCGAACGCCGGACCATCTCAAGTTTCGATGGGCTGAGCACCTTTGCAAATGAGATATTATACCACTAAACCACACGCCCTGCGATGCTGAGTATATGTAGCCTGGACTCTTCAACCTTACTCTCTTGCACCTATGGTAACCTGGCGGAGGTAAACGTAAACTAGTCTCATGCTCGGATTATCGTGTAAAAAAGCCAAAAGGAACCATCCCACTACTTGAGAGGAAATCTGCAAAGTTTATTTCCCATGCTGAGATCCAGCGAATTCTGAGAGAGTTCTTGGACGTTCACCAACTTTCGAAAATGTTACCTTTCCACCGATCTATGGGAATATTACAGCGGTGGAGCAAGTGGGAGAAGTGGGAGTAGCACTGGAGCATAACGCAGTAGTTTTATTTATTTATTTATTTTTTAAAAAAACCAAAATATCATTACTCGCATACCGCCCTATGAGCTACCGCGGGCAACACATGTAGCTAGTGGGTGCGATCGTTTTGACTTCTTTTACTTTTATTAATAAAGACCCTCGCCATAGCCCGTAGGGCGGCATGCGAGTAATGAAATAAAAAAAAAAAAAATTAAAAAAAAATATGGCGAGAAGCATAAGGCAGTCGTTAGCGGTTTCATATTGAAGAGAGCAGCAAAGTAATCTGAGGCTACATTCCATGCTAATGATGACCTTAGTGTATTTTTTTTTTTTTTTTTTTTTTTTATATCAGTACTCGCGTGCCGCCCTAGGGGCTATGGCAAGGTTAAGGTTAAATAGAAATAAACAGGTGAACTGAGAAGTGTACTACTGTGTTTCACCACATCTCGACGCACACCACAATTCGACGCACTTCCCCACCAAAACTAGCCACGCAGAAGAGCGTGTACCTCAACCACTAGAGCAGAATTTTGTAAGCGCTATTTAGAGACACTAAATAAATACTTGTTCTTCATGTTTAGCACCTCTGCCTGCTCAAAGAAAGCATTCTCAAGGAATTATGGCACCGTAAAATTTGTAACAATGTCTTGGCATGTATTTGTATGAGATTCTCATACAATATTTCAGCGGACTGGACATACTACTCTTTTTTTAGCACTATCACACCAATGGCAATTGTCTTGTGATTAAAGGGCCTCCCCTGATTGTATATTGATTCACTTAATTTTATTCAGTCCATTTTGATATATTGCATAGTTGGCATGCTGATACATATTTTCAGGTGCTCTTCCGATACTATTCATATGCAATATTTCTATGGGAATGAAAATATTTTGAACAGCTCAACAATTACTTCAAGGATTATGTTGATGCCATTCATGTATATCTCCATAGGGATAGGTTATCCAAATACAATGTTTAAATATTTTTATTGAATTAATTACAGGTGCAGTGGGTAGATTTCCATATCTGCAATTTTACCGCAAAAATATATGCCAAGACTTATGTGAAAATATGCAAAGATATAATTCATTTATAAATACTCTTTTTTAAAAGTAGAGATGCAGGATCTGATGAATGATGCTTGCTTTAAGCCTCCTGAAAGGCGCATAGAAAAGTAGGTTCTGTGCGTGGGGATATACAGGTTCTCATTCGCTCAGTTTTGGTGGGAAAGTGCGTCGAATTGTGGTGTGCGTCGAGATGTGGTGAAATACAGTAGAAATAGAAAATAAACGTCAAGTGTTGCACGTAGGAAAAATGATCCACCGTCCATCTAGAGTTGTCCTGCCCATTCTAAAATATCCACCAGAGGGTCTCTGTCCTTGCCTTGGGTGGCCTGATCAGATCTGCTCTGCCCCCCGGCCATGTCCTTTTCCATGTTCTGCACTTGGTGAGTACGGGGGTGGCAGATTCCTCCTCTTCTCCGCACCACCGGCATTCCGGGCTTTCTGTTTTGCCGATTGTGTATTGCCACCCTCTTAGCCCCTTAGCCCCCAGTATGCCCGCGAGCGTCGGTACTCTTCGTACTAATCGTGTCAGCGGATTGTAGCTGACCTTAGTGTATATGTCGGTTCTACATGGTTTTTTGATTCACGGCGAATTCGAGTTCTTAACGTACTGGCTCCGGCCACGTTAAAGAGTCCCGCTATGAACGCTTTTAGCCCCGAACTGATCGATTCTAGTAAAAACTGTCAATCAACTAGTGGTTTGCCAAGCGACTTAAAGTAATCTAAGAAGTAATACATCGGTTGATTAGAGAGATTGCGAATTAACTACTGCGTAGAGCCAAGATTCCGATTCCTCCCTTCATAAACCAAAAAGTGCGAACCTACTGGACACTTGTAAGTGAAGCAGCACTCACCAGGCAACGGCCGGCAGTCTTGGGTTTTTTTTTTTTTTTTTTTTTTTTTTTGGTTTACTACTCGGGCACTTTGAGAAGAGGTCCTAACTACAAAAGTTCGCCCTCACCTGCTCAACTTCTCAACTATGGCCAAGTTTCGACGCTCCATCACTCATGCTCTGGATCTCCTCTTCAGTGATTCCCAAGAGCCAACCCATAAGCGATTTCCAGCCTCTCCGGTTACATCACAACAATGAACTTGTTCCCATCATACACCTTCTCATAAGTGGTCTTCTCCCCTGCACAAACCTCATACAGACCCTCTGCAGCCCTCCTCCATCCCTCCACCAACCTATCTATTACCCTACTCTTTGCTTTTGGCTCTACTCTCTCTACAATAACCTTCCTATTTAGTGGTATTTTCATGTGAAGAGCTTTTACTTTGCAGCAGATATATAGCTGCCACAATTGCTGAAAGCGCGAAATGGTCATTGTACCCATACTTTGTGAGCTTGACGTGATTGTCGGAATTTTCGAGTTCGTAGCCGAGGGCTTTTAGGAGGCCTTCACGAGCCAATCTAATCCCATCCCAGGATTCGTAGCGTGCACAGAGGTTCTGTCTTAAACTAACGGCTCTCGCAAGGTGGATGGGTGGGGAAACTGTTGCGGGACGGCAGGAACTGGTGTATGTGTTTTCTATCGCTTTGATCTTGGCATCCACGGCATCGAGAACTGTTTTTACCTATAAGGAGGAAGTATGCCTGCCAGCTGGGGCGTTCTCGTACAACTTCTCCACATACTGTAGCAGCTGATCTCTCTCATTACGTGCGATTTTACGCTCGTTCCTCTCGAGCGTGCAGTAACGACAATTACAGGTAAATCCTCAACCGCGCATGAGTTTCTTTTGCCGTTCCTATAGTTATCCTATGGCGGGGCCCTGCCATGGCGAACAGCTGCATGCGGGGTTACGTGACAAAAAAAAAAAAAAAAAAAAAAAATCCTATGACGGGGGCGCGTAGCTGAATGTGACTTGCTCTCCCGCGGCAATTGGCGCGCAGGCCCGCACGATCATGAAGTCTCTAATGAAGCTGCGTCTGGCGTTGCCCCAGCACGAGTGATTGATGAAAGAGGACAGGAGCCATAGGCCCACGTCACTGAAGTTGTGATCCTGGGGCTGCTCAGGACTTGTCTGCTCCTCGGGGGACAACAGTTTGGAAGTCAAACCTGAGCAACTGAAGGCATTAAGGGAGCGGATACGGTCGATCCTGAATCCGAGCACATCGTTAACATGAATCCCACGGCAGGAACGTTATGGCTCCTCGTGTACAAGTAAGCGGGTGGGGAATCTAAACGGGACCTCTCCGGGCAGGGGTATCGTCAGGGGACTGTAGACTAGCCAGCTCGGTTGCAGAGGTATCTACAGGGGACTGTACGGTATCTACAGGGGACGACACAGGTCTTCAGATCGCATGCCAGGCTTATTCATATGCGTGAGAGGTGAGGTATGTAGACATTCCTATTGGTTTTATAGACAACATACATACACCTTGAGTCTAGTATGCAATCTGAAGACCTGTGCCGTCCCCTGTACTAGCCGAAAAATAAGTATCTGAACAGGAGATAAATGTATATTATGCACTATGCAGCATTTGGTGTAAACTAGCATATGTTCGTAGTGGATATCCACGAGACTAGTCCACCAATTTCGTGATAGATTGTCCAAATTTTATTATGTCAGAAGTATCCGGGCAGCTAACATGAATTTGTGCCTATCATACAGCAGCAGAATAAACACAAGAACAAGGTAGAATATACAAGGTAACAAGGACGGCAGGTAAAAAAGGTCCAGGTAAAAACTCAACTATCATACTTAGTAAGATAATAATATTCTCATAGGTGTTCTGAAATAACCGCCCAGAAAAGAGCAGCGATTATGGCCTACATTGAGGTATTCGCATACCAAATACCCCAAGCAAGCTTTCATCAATAAAAACAATATCTACAATAATGAAGATACTGAAGTCAACATGCACTGACATCATTGAGAATGCAGTTTTGAGAGCTTCACATGTGCACCAGCTTTATCGCCATAGCCCTTAGGGCGGCATGCGATTACTGTTATTAAAAAAAAAAAAAAAAAAAAGCATCAGCTGCAAATCTAGAGCCTTTTCCGGAAACTTTTGCGGAGGCTGTTTCGGAGGCTGTTTCGGAGGCTGTTTCGGAGGCTGTTTGAGCTCGAACAGCCCCTCAAACAGTATTTCAATGGCCTCTGGAACAGCCTCTGGAACAGCCTCTGGAACAGCCTCTGGAACAGCCTCTGGAACAGCCTCTGGAACAGCCTCTGGAACAGCCTCTGGAACAGCTCTTGGAATAGCTTTAGAAAAGCTTCTAGAGAAGCCCTGAAGAGCAATCTCGAAATCTTAGGATGTATCAGAATAGTAAGTTTTGACCATTATAAAACCCTAAGTACGGCTCCTTAACCAACACCACCTTGCGCTCCCCGAGGTAGCTTTGCAGGTCCTGTCGCTGATCCCAGCGATTGTACAGTGTCAGCAGCTCGCATATGCCATTCTCATCCTCGGCGATGGCCATTGCTGAAACCAAGTGCCCACCTGGAGTGATTGTACGTAACACAACGTACTTTCCTCGGTGGTTCGTCCATAGCCCATTGGGCGGCATGCGAGTACTGATATAAAAAAAAAAAAAAAAAAAAAAAAATCGGTGGTTCGTTTTAAGAGCAAATCGGCAATCATGACTTTCGAGAGGGTGGAAAGAGGAGCTACACTAGGTGGATACATATGCGTGGTGTAAGAT